TTTTTTTCTCCACCCACTATGTTTACCTGTTGATCCTTGTAGGGAGTAAAGGGTGGTCTGCTATTAGGTTAGAGGAGGGTACACTATGCATATAAATCCCCTCACAGTACTACCAGAGGTAGACAAAGTACTCAAAAGTAGTACTTGAACAAAAGTATTTATACTTATAATCAAATCCTACTCAACTAAAAAATAAGTTACTCAGTCAAACACCTACTCAAGTTAAAGTATTGAAGTACTCACTTTTGAAAATACGTAAGTATTCAAAAGTACATGGATTTAAAAGTACTTCAGTATTCAAAAATACAAATAAATACTCATTTCTAATATCAGTACATTTCTGTGTAATTTTCAGTACCATGTAACTTTCAGAAACCACCTGATGTATTGGTGCGTAGAGCCACTCTGTTACAAATGCTACACAACTTGTAAAGAACTTCAGCATCAAAATGCCACAGAAAATTGTATTAAATGCAGTGGGGTGAAAGTAAAGATACTCAAAATAATTACTTAAGTACAGTAATCAAATAGATGTTCTTTTTTACTTTCCACATTTACACAGAAAAAATAGCCATGTAAAAAAAACAACAACAAAAAAACATGTTTTATTCTTATTTTAAATTTCAAATTACAAGCCGGCCTTGATCCACCAGAAAGGATGGACTCCATGTCACCATAAGATCACCATGGATCTAAAACGGAAACAGAAATGCTTTTATTTTGAAGGTCACTTAATTGGCCTGCTAATCACTGCTCTTCAGCCTCAGTCAATGAAATATTTCAGTTAACAAAAAAGAATAATTTAAGAACATTTTTAACAACACATGGAATTCTAAATATTTGTTGAGGGACTAAACAAGGAAGTACAAAAGTTTGACTGAGGCTGGGCAGGCTCTAGCGTCAGAGAATTTGCTAGCTAAACTGCAAAAGCAACGTGGACTTTTTTTTTTTTTCAAAGCTCTTTTATCAAAGCATGCAGGAGTCTGGACCAGTTCTGTTAAATCCATTAATTTGCCAGATATGGTAAGCCACAAATATGACAATGGGAGTTTATTGGAGACAGGTTACCGCAGCGAGTGAAACTCCACAGGAGCACCGGAGAAACGAATCGAGGACAGTGCGCGGAACTTGGGGCTTCATCACCTGCAAGAAAACAATTTGGGATTTTTTTTTTTCCAGGCTCTGTGTGAAAGTTTCGATGTGGCTGATACAACCAAGTTACCTAATTATATGTAGATGAACAAGACGGTGGCGGCGCAACTATTAATTAAAGGAACGTTAGTTAGTTATTGCTTGTATTACTGTGTATATTATGTCGTGATGAATTTGAAAGCCATTAGAATTTTAAAGAGCAGTTTGACAGAGCAGTTTGAGTTGATGAAGGTGTTGCATTTAAAGTTTTTCGGAAAAAAAAAAAAAAAAAAAACAGGTCACGTCCCTGGGTGGGCTCGAACCACCAACCTTTCGGTTAACAGCCGAACGCGCTAACCGATTGCGCCACAGAGACGGATATCGCCACATTATTTGTGACGTCAATTTGTAGATCTATCTGTAAGGGGGTATAGCTTGTGTGGTAAATGGGCAGCGATTATAGGTAAAAACATCTGTTTAAACCGGGCACGTGGTAAACAATCCTACCATCTTTGAGTCACAATAATGTTATGGAATGCCTGAATACTTTTAGCATGCTAACGAGCTAATGTTCGTAGGTCTGCAAACGCTAGAATGTTTGACACCTCTGTTGTTGTACTACTCAGTATCTTCTGTTTCCTAATGAGGCGGAGATCTTAAAAAGTGGAACTAAGTGCAGCATTATTAATGCATGTCTACATAAAAATTACCGACGGTGCAACACCGCCGGGCTGTCGCATCTTCAACTTGTCATATTTCCAGGATGCGTATTCAGAGCAGAGTGGCGCAGCGGAAGCGTGCTGGGCCCATAACCCAGAGGTCGATGGATCGAAACCATCCTCTGCTATATGTTTTTTCCTTTCTTTATCTGTAAATCATTTCCATGCAACCCGTTTATTTAATTGACTAGTTGCACGTTATGGAATATTCTAAATATTATTATTTCTATATAAAAAGAATGACACTCTGACAACTCAATGACAAAAAACTTTTGTTTTACAATCTTAGATGAATTTGCTCAGTTTTATTTATTTTACAATGCTAAAAGTGAAATGTAAATGAAACAGAAAAAAATAACAAGTATGTAAGTAGATCGAAAAAAAGATAGCTGGGTTCTTTCTTGAAACATTCCGACTCCTCTGCTTATAAGGCTGAGTTTATCTGTAATTCAGACTGAAGAAGCCTCTTGGAGAAGAGAAGAAATATTTTAACAAATGTTAGGATTATTTAGATTCATGATGTGTGAATCTGTTAAACCCTAATAATATGTATCAGTTGCGTGTCAGAAATATTGTTTTCCTAAGTAGTTTATCTAATCAGGACAATTCCTCTGTCAGGATAAAAAGTCATCTTCAGTATGTATATGGCAAAGACTTGGGAGAGGAATGGATGTCCTGCATGTAAATACATAGTGTAGTATTTTGATAAGGCTGGAGCAATCATTACATCATACACAAAAAACACAAAGCTTTCCATAACACAAAGAAGAACCCATCCATAAGAGTTAATGCAAGTTCTTATGCATTTTTCGTTAAGATGCATCAAGATATAATTCAGTCTGTCCTGTAGACAGCTTTCCTACAAGATGTGATCTAGTAGGAAAAGCAACAAAAAAAAACCTTTATAAAAAATACATTCTCCTTTTACCAAATAACAATTAGAAGCAGAAAGTAATGTACAAGTTTTTTTTTGTAGTGCAAGATGGATAAAATACCAGTCTTTTAAAGGCTGTATACACTGAAAAAATTATCTTAAAAAAAGTAAAAATGTCTTAAAATAAAATTTACCTTTAATTTGAGCAGGTAAATAAGATAATCTGCCAGTGGAATTAGTATTACTCATAAAATAAGATAATTAGATAATATGCACTTGAAATAAGAAAAAAACTGTTGTTTCTTTCTTATCCTAAAATTGTCTTCCTGTAAATTGTCTTGTTTCATTGGCAAAGTGTCTCCCTTACATCTCCAATTCAAGAAGAAATTCACTTATTTTAAGAAAAAAATTACTCATTTAGATCTCTATTTCTTGCAGTGTAGATCAAGAGACTGAAGCACAGGGGTTATTGTAAAAGAAACTACATTTATCATACGACACTAGGTGAAAACCATCTTAGAGGGCTAAATGGATAGAAAATAAACTATAATATTAGGCAACTAAGTGTTTACTGGGCTTTGAGTGTTCTTTTAGCCACAGAGGCCCTGTGGTAGCTCAAGTTATTGAGGACACAACTGTTAGTCAGCACAGATAGCTTGGAGTTCAGAGTTTCTTTACTTTTTTCCCAATAACAATCTCCTCCTTGATCCATCTTTTCTTCTTTCACTCTGTCCTCCTCTTCCACATCCACTTCACTCTCTTCATCACTGCGTTCATCTTTTTCCAGCTGTAGAAAGCAAATATCAAGGGTTAAATAAAAAAAAAAGCGTTGCTCGTTGACCCTTGAATAGGTTAGAAGTGCAATCCTAAGCTCAGTTATCACTGCTGTTTCTCACCTTGCCTTTAAAAAACTTGTAAACCATGCGTAAGATAAGACCTGCCCAGAATATATGAAGAGCTTGCAGCACCATCAGCAGGGCGTTAAAAAAGTAGTAGCCAACAAAAGGCTCAAAGAACTCCATGGAAAGAAGCAGGGTGGTACGAATGATCCTGTAAGGAGAAATTATTTAATTAAAATGGTGATAATCCAACTTTTTTAGGTCAATTAACACCACAAAGTACTTAATTGTGAAGAAGAAAATCTTTACATTATTACATTTTAGATGTATTTATTTAATACAAAAAAAAATTAAAAATAACTGTGGTGCATACCAACCACACTATGACGATCCACCTAAACCGACAAGCAAGGAGAACATTAATCAGAGAAAGCTCTACATCTCCGGCAGAGAAATGAAAGAGGGCCATTGATGAAAGAGGCACAAAGTAAAAGGCATAGTTGAAAGAAAGCCAAAAGACACCCAATTTGTAGTTTG